TGCTTTCTACCTCGTCAGAAAAATCTGCATTTTTGAGAATGTTCGTCTAGAGAACTTTCGTAGATACACAGGTTCAGAAAAAATAAAAAGGCTAAGAGGATAGAGTCTCCGCCGCTAAACTACCCATTTTTGGTATTCTGCTCCCATTCAGAAAGTAGTGGCTTACTGAACGCGATGTGGCCTATACAATGGTCTAACGTACAAGTCATTGATATTATCCTCCCAGAAGGATCAGGCACCAATTTACCGTCCCGTAAAGGTGGAGAGCCTGGTTATCCCGAGCGGGAACCGATCTAGGATTTGATTTCCGGACCCGCCTATACAACAAATAACTTTTTGAAATATCCCTCGACATCGGCACCTTCAATAATGGAGCCAGGGCAATATATCTGCTGTTAGAATTACTGAGTCCGTATACTCTCGACGGACTGCGATCATTTAACGGTGGGACTAATTGAAGCATAACGTAATTATCACAGACCCTTTAAACTAGTCCTGCTTCCCAGCACTGGGATGAATGATTGCTTCAATTGCCGGGTTACAACTTCTACATTATCTTTTAAGCATCAAATATGGGTGACACAAAAGGCTGGCGGAAAATTTTAGGCAAGACCATTTGTATAGTCCATTTTCTTCAAACTGTATTTTTGTCAGGCCCATTCATCTGTATATATGCATTCATGACTTCTTTGCTTTCTGATTATTTATGCTGGACTGTAACGCCATCGAGTGGCGCTGAATCATTCGGTTCATTAAAATTCCACCATTCTATAGAGCTTTCACGGGCGAATTACTGTCCTGGGTGTAGCCCCCAGATGTTTCTACCATTGGTTCAACGGCGTCTTCTGACTCTAAATCCTCTAAAAGTTCAATACATAATCGTGCTCAAACGAGGATGAATTTGCTCTCGCAGCAATCCCATCCTCCCAGACGTAGTACACTTTGTCAGAAATTCATTACAAAGGGAGGCGTGGACGGAAATTCTCCCGTTGACATGAGACCTCGAATCAAGTATGGAATTTGAAAATAAAGGACTGTGGCGGCGCAGTTTGTCGACGGGGGGGGCATTTTGCTTTCCATAGATGTGTCGACCCATCTAGGTAGCCTTTTCTCGAGTTGACTTTTGGGATGGTGGCTAGACGATCTTGCTCCAGCTTCACAAGAGTTCACAAGTTTTACCAGAGTGAGATTTGTAAACCGGAACTAGGGAAGCAATGATAGTACAAAATGCCCCCCCCCCCCCCGTCGATAAACAGCTCCGGACTGTTGCTCCAATTCAGCATTACACGATGGCATTAAAACCTACTACCCCTTTCGGGATAACGACACCACAGTTTGAATTCATTCAAGATTCGTGCGTGGCTTAGCTGAATGGCGCTACGGGCCTAAAACAACGACTTGCCGGGGAACGAGCGGCCGATGTAAGAATCTGCACTTTTTTAGCTTCCCAGGCGAACCTGCTAACAATTTACCGGCCCCAGAAAGTAGAAGGCTTTTGGTCTGGGCGAAGTCGGTAGTGGTTTTGACTACCGACGGCGTGCGCGGTAAATGTGCCACTCTCCACTACACCGCCTAAACACCTGGACCTGCTAAAAAATCGAAAATACACTGAATTTGAAAATTGGCCCGTAGAAACGTCTTCACCAAGTGAATATATTTCAGAACCTACCGAAAAGTGGGATCTGACAGCACACGAGGAACACGAAGAGTGTAATGGCGGTCCATAACATTTTCTCTCGGAACTGGATCTTCCTTTCCGGCTTCGACACCTCCGGCACAAAGCCGCAAAACGGCTTGACGAATTCGAGGAACTTTACTGAAACAAGAAAAATTCAACATTAATGATCCTGCTAGAAGTATAGGTTTCTTGAATGGAGAGACACACACTACAGCACTCTTTCGAGATCAGGACAGTTTCTATCTGCTTATTCTACGAGAGCAAATTTGGCTGAAAATTCGGTTCCAGGGGTGGATTGCCCTCCTTTGCAGGGATATCACATCTGCTTGGCCTGAAACTGCCTGATGCACGCACCATAGGGACGGGCGCTAAAATACCCTGAACACCTAATTCGCTGAAAACTTGTCCCTGGGTATAGTTTGACCTCCGCAAATGGATGTCGCACATGCTGATGTGCCCGGGGTAGTTAAAAATGGGGGGAAGGAGATACAGGTGACAGCGCACCTGTTACGCTTGTCTATAGTCTTCCCCGAGACAGTGATCTCTCCCTCTGCTAAGGCTGAGCTTCCGATGGTCATGATGTGATACTTACGGGCACAGTTTCACCAGTTTTTGTGCGAGTTTTCGAGGTAGTGGTACTTGAGTAGTACCTAGCGTTTCACTGCTAACCGAACCAAGATCACCCCGCCTCAGATTTACTAAAGGTCACCGCAGTAAACCTATAACCGTAACCTCCTGAACAGTTTACACTGTCCTTTCTCGGTTGTCTGACTTCCTTCTTGTGACGAGTAACGCTCTGCGCGTTTTGTTCTTGCCTTACGAGGTTGTTAGATGAAACATTTAGTGGGTACTGTCTAAAGTTCCGACTGAATCGTCGTCTCAGAAACTGAGGGTAAAACTACTCAAGTCCACACAAGGGATCTGTAAGTCGAACGCTCTGCGCGGTATGTTCCTAGTGGCAAGTTCAACTCAATAAGACTATCGAGAGGTACTTGGTTCAACACCGCCCAACTTCTCTCTTCATAAAACCGCGGCACTATTGCAAACTCTCCAGTTTCCGATTCATTAAGCCAAGAGAGGTTTAGGTGGAACTCTTTATTGGACCTGCCCTGACGTTCGGACTAGATCGTCGTCCTCAGGGTCCCAAACATGGCTCAAGATGCACAATAAATCGGAAACTATCGAAAGGGACTTCGACCATCATAGAAAGGAAGAGAATGGAGAACAAATGAAAAAGAAAGTGAAATGAAATGACTTACTTCCCATCTTGACAAGGGTTGTCCGGCTATCCCTTCGGGCGTATAGCTACGATGGATGAACTAAGAAATGTTAAGCACCGTTAGCTACCGTTGGAGACCCTCGTCAACTCGCACGCGTCCTCTGCAAAACGCAATCTGCCAACACGCTACCGTAATCAACTACAAGCAGAAAACAGTGATGGATGAACTGCAAGTGAATGTGAAAACCTATGAGAAAGAGGATCCCCGTAAATTACCGCAAATAGTTTCTTGTTGTTGTGAAAACTACAATAATGCGGAAAAGTTCCAAACCAGTTTTGTAGACCAAAAAAGTAGAAAAATCGGTTAAAGGACCGCCAAACTGCAAGGTCCGAACTGTAATTTAAAGGACGCTTGTCGTTGACCGCGCAAATCCTGCATGGAATTCATACCGTACCTTTCAACTAAGTTTTCGCTTTTCTTATTTTTACCTGAATTTACTGCTAGTTTTATTTGATTTGCACAACTATGTGTAGAGGTTCCTCACTAGAAATTTTCTACGAAAGGTGTATTTCCTTCGCGTGGTAGACCTGCGCGGGTTTTTTTCATTCATTGGCGTTGCATTCTTCGTATTGCCTTGGTTTTCTCGATATTTCGATGTCTGAGC